TACTACTGGGACAGCAAATTTCCGATAGCTGATGCTGAGAAACCGTGGCAGCGTTGTTAGATTAAACTGAGAGAACTTCTGCTCAGGAAGATGCTAAGAAAGCAAAACCGGTTTTATCAGGACCTCCAGTTTTCAGCAGCACAATAGCATGTCATCCTTCCTGGGAAGAAGGGTATATACATTTGGGAAGCCAAGTGACATGGGTTATCTCTTCCCCTAGAAAAAAAAGTGACATTATTTTCTGAGAATGTTGTCAGGACCCAAGAGATTTGTACTTCTGTAATTATCTGGTGCCATCCTGATCAAAACAGTATCCTTCTCAGAGAAGGGAGGTAGATTGTTGCCTACAGAAGATTGCCAGAAGAGAGCAAAATGGCAAAGGCTTCCAGAGCCCACTGGCGTGTGCCCTCCAGAGCCAGGCAGGTCGTGGGGTTGGAGGGGTCAGCTGGAGTGATGGGCTGGTGCTGCCGCTCTGGGAACGGGCAGCTGCTCTTCTTCTGCCAAAGGGCCGTTTCTCTCTGTTTCTCTTTGCTTGGCATCATAGGGTCATTGAACACAACTTCACAGGGTTTTCCCTCTAGGTCTGCCACTATTCTCTGCATTTTTTTATGCCTGCCTTCCATGCAGGATGAAAAGTAGCCTCTCATTCATGTGATACAAAATTTACTTTTGCCTGTGCTACTGGGAGTCTTTAAAGCTGACTCTGAATAGTATTTTTTTTTCTCCTGTGTATCTCTGAAGCATTGATTGTTCCATCTGAAAGAGGTGGCAGGTGTCCAGGGTAACAAGAGATTTAACATCTGGATGGTCACGATGAGGAATGTTTTTACAGCTAGGTGTCTTGTTGAGTAGCAACTACTCTTGTGATCTTGGCTAATTGTCAGCAGTACAGGAGGAAACCAGCTCTGTCTGGCTTTCATCGCATAAAATCATCCCACTCATCCCACTTGCTTTCCATAAAACCTGTTTGTAGCAGAAGAGCTATTGAAACTGAATTCGGAAGGGAGTTCTCAGAAGCAAACTCTTCTTGTGGCTTCCTTCTGTAGGTCCCGTGGTAAGATGGTTTGATTTCCACTTCGATTGCTCACGTCCAACCTTTTTTTGGTCATTTTCTCTGTCTAAGAAAATCCGCTTCACTCTGCGTGTGATCATTTGACTGTATTTGGGACCTCTGTTATCCCTGGTAGCCTGCAGGGATGCCTAGGTTATTTGGGCACAGAAACAGCAACATTTAAAGTTGATTCCTATAAAATAATGCAGTGTGTCTGTTCAGCAGTACAAATACTTGCAGGAATACAAGATCTGCCCTCCTCGGTTTTATATCAATTTCACAGTCTTGGTTCTTATTACTTAAGGTGTCCCCAGGCCCAGGAAATTTTAATGGCTGGCTACTGCTCTGGTGAAAGCTGTTGTCAGTAAGAGCAGGCTTTTAGCACAACTTCTCACAGTAATGATGAAACTCTTAATTTCATATACATGAAAACTATAATTCTGTAGTGTTATGCAGGAACAATCAGCAGTAGTAACTAGAGGAGTAATTCTACAACTGCTTCGTTCTTGAATAACAGCATTTCCAAGCATGTTATCTGTTATGTCATGGAAGAGTAATATCAGCAAAGTATGATAAGAAATTGAGTAGAGAAAGCTTTACGTTGCATAACCTGGGGGTTTTATTTTAAATCGCTGTTAGTAACTAGTGAGTAGATAACACTACTCACCACTGGAGAGGAAATTTAAATTGATACTAAGGATGTTAGAAAGTATGGAAGAACTGGCACCAGAAGAGACTACAGATGTGAGTGGCAGGAGCAGTGATTAAACCCAAACAGATCAAATTGAAATACAATTTCCTATGTTCCATAGGTTGGATTCCTAATAATCCTTAGTCCTTCAGTACTGACATGCTAGGATTCTTGCCCTCTGTCAGCATCTTTAACAGCAATGGCGGCTGAAGCTGATGGACAAATAAATCTTAAGTCTAAATAAGTGATACCTGAGCTCTGAGTGAGAAGAGCTGGAGTAAACATGAACTTTCTTAGCACCTGGAAAAGGACTTGCAAAATCACCTGTATGAAGAGGAAAGCTGACCCAAAAAAAAAAAAGTACAGAAAAAGATGAATAATCTTCTGATGTGACCTGTGAATGATCATAGTAAAGCTGTGAGTAAGAAACTTGATGAGTTGTCAAATTTATGTCAACCCAAGAAGCTTGTTCAGTGTTTGAAACTGTAGATTTTCAATATCTAAACCATACACACTGGTGTTATTCCCAGCTTACCTGGTGAGTGTTCAAATTGGAAGTCCATCAAAATATGGACAGGTATCATAATGCCCTCAAAAGCAAAAGTCTTGGAAATAATTGTTATAACAAATGGAGTAACTTCCTACAAATGCTACACCTGGGTTTACCAGGTTATTATGGCTGAAGTTATTAAGAAAAAGATAACCTAGGTCAAACCTGTTACTTTTGAACTTTTTGCATGTAGGGGGAAATGGCATTAGGATCTAGAAATAAACCAAAATTCATCACTGTTCTGGCGGAGAGGGCTGGTTTAGATCCCTGTTCAATTAGATGTAATATCCAGCAAAATTTGTATCTATTACAGGATACCTACACTAACCTAATTTGGGAATGCCTGTCTTGTGAGGGAAGCCCAACTCCAGCATATTAATTTGCGCCTCTTCCGCTGCAGAGTTCATGTGGCATGTGTCGTCCTGGTTTGAAAGATCGAACAGTAATTGCCAGCCTCCGAAAACTTCAGGGGCTCAACGCAGAGAAATCCGGACATGGGCGCTGGGGCAGCAACTCGGCATGCCTGTCCTTGCCACTGCTTGCAACCCACTCTGCCCTGCTTGGCTCAGGGAAACCCTTCTTTCCTCTTCCTCTCATGGCATTATGACCAGGCTGTAAATCTTTGGAAGAAGTACTATAAAATAGCAAAATGGTTTAGAAACAGTTTTCTGGGATGCATGAATGCAGACAGCTAATGCCTTGTCATATCTGCAGTGACTCCACTGCGCTAAGGTACCTGTTTACATGGCACGTGCTTCTCGCTCTTCTCAGAATAATAATCTAATATAATTCGGTTTCCATAACGTAATTGCTAATTAGAGATGCATAGCAGGGCATCACCAAGGATCCGTTCTGTTCAGCAGTCCACTCCGCCTTTTAAAGCATTGGCCCCGTAGAGACGCTGCTGATAACGCAAATGGCACACAAACATTTTAATTCTGATTATTTTAGACTCTAAGCTCTTCAAGGAAGGCAATTCCTATCAGTGGATCACCTGTTATAAGGAAGATCCATCCTGTTGTTTTGAAATCAGGATCGTGCAGGTCACAGGCACTGCTAGTGCTGGTTAAAACTGTTTGTCATAGTATTCCAGGATTTTTCTCTTTGAGCAACCGAGACATGATCATACTGCAACAGTAGTCAGGAGAGTTTTCTATGCCAGTTGTCTACCTCTGGATAAAGGGTTTGGTTAATTAAGAGTTTGTGGGGTTTTTGTTTGAACTTAGTCATCCCAGATAAACAGGCCACTGCCTTGCTAAGCCTTGTGGCACTTGGGTAAGGAGAGCCAGCACTTGGTCAAGCCAAGTCCTGCAACTTCATAGGCAGGAATCTGGGTGGGAGGAACCGAACAGCCTAGACTGGAAGCAGGTGGTTCCAAAGGATTTCCCCTATTGGAGTACTCACTTAGGAATCCTGTGACGGAACAGAAATCCTGCATCTTTAGACGTTCTTCAGAAAGTGGCTGTACGAGGCCCTGGCAGGTTTGCTCTGCAGTGCCACGAGTCTGTCCCGGTTAACATCAGTTGGTTAAAGCAGCAGCGGTCTGTGCTGGGGCTCTGAAGTTGTAAACGATTGGTACTGGGGGTAAAAATGATCCCCCGTGGAGGAGTTAGTTTTGCACTGGGCGGCACGCTACCAAGTGCCTTACGCTGAGCAGATGGTAGCATCCGATAGCCCCGGCTGGAACAGCATCTTCGGTTCTGAGTCTGCCTGTTCCTGTCTACATTTTAAGTTGTACTTGAGTTGGGTGGCTCAGACAACTGCATTTCAATTTCTAGCTTTTTCACAAAGACCTCCTATTCAAACCCACTGAAATTGTGATCTGGTATTCATAAAACACTTTCAGTACTTAACAAGGGTGTATATTTCGTTGCATGCCACGTTGTCAAATGCTTTTACGCAGTACTTGAATTTTGGACGCTAGGCCCTTTGATATAATACAGATGGTACCTGATTAAAAGCATCTTAAATGATGCCTGTTGTCTTTGTTATCTGTTGTGAGGTCTAGAAATTTGAGCTCTTCATTCCGGGTGGGCAGACAGCCTGTTTGTTTCCTTACAGTAAGTAAAAATGAAAATGCTGAATCTGGTGTTACTTTTCCCCCAGGACGCAGATTTCGGTGTATGTGGAGAGGGTGAAGCAGACAGCTCTCCATCCTTTGGATTGTCGTGTAATTAACTTTTTTCCTGAAATATCAGGACTTAGGAGGTGTCTTTGCTTTTCTTTGGCAGTCACAACTGCTACATTTTGGGACTGAATGCCTGTTCGTTAGCGTGCTTCATCATCCGAGCCGACGCAGGTTCTTTTGTTCAGTATTTAGAAAGTAGTATCTAGAAGATAACTCGCTTTTTTCCCTTTCTGACCCCTCCGTGTGGGATTTGTACGTTAGGTAATTAGGATGCAACAACGAAAGACAATAAAATCTGAGTATTGACTGGGATGTACTGTGGTGCTACAAACAGAAACGCGTAGCATTGCTTGCAGGCTCACAGGCTTTACGTTACTTTAACAAGCTAGAGATGCTTCAGAAAGGACAAAGTCTAGAAAGTTCCTTTTTGCCCATTTGGGATCATATAGGGACAAAGCCAGCGGACAAACGTCACCTCACCATATTTCGTATGCTCTTCTGCAGCAAGCTGCTAATGAATTCTTCAGCAGCCCAATAACCTCATTTTTTAATAGTCCCTTTTTCTGTCGTTTTCATGCAGGTTACGATGAAGGCCAAACAACTGAAAGATTCTGTTACCTATACACCAGGTGTGTGCAATAGCTCCTCACCAACGCTCGTCAAGGCACCGCGTTTGGGTTGTAGCTGGGCAAGTACAGCGCATCCCGTACCCTTCAGGGTGTGCTTTGCCGAGAGGCTCCCGCGGCCTTGCCTTACGTCCAGCGAAGAGAAGAGCTGATGGCTATTCTGGGGGAATGATTCCCTTCACCTACATCCTCCCAGCCTTTCCTACACAGCTTCTTGCGGGTTTGCTTCATCTGTTCGCGCTGTGCCATTTGTTTGTATCGGTGTGGTAATGTACTAGTACTTCACATACACCAGATAAGCTCATAATTGGCAAAATTCATGGCTTCATAACAAATACCCAGATTTCTCAATAGGCATTTTCCTTAAGCTCTTAATCCAGAAGAGCTTTTTCTCCTCTCTGTGCTATTCCGGGTGTCTTTTATTTGCAAGCAGTTCCCTGCTTGTCTGTGGTCTATTTTTTTTTTTTTTAAAGTGTAACAACAATACTTCTGACAGGTATCGTTAGGCTCTCCGAGCTTAAAACGCTGGCCCAGAATTCAAAGAACGTCAAAGTCAATGTGAACTTGCCAGACCACATAATCACCCAGCGAGAAAGGGAGGAGGAGGAGGAGGAAGAGGAGGAAGGGAACTACATTCATCACCCTGAGCAGATGGATGTCCAGATTGATCCAGGGGAGTCCGTTGCAAGTGAAACGAGACAGCGCAGACGAAAAGTTACCAAGGCACCTGAAGTGACTCCGCCGGCAGCGAAAGAGGTACCAGAAGAGAAGGGCAGAGGAAGACGCCAGAAAGACTTTGATAACACCGAGCAAGAGGAAGAGAGTGATGGTGAGAGCAGGAAAAGAGAGAAAAGCCGGGCCCCAGAAGAGCTGTGGACTCAGAATCAACAGAAACTTCTTGAAATGGCCTTGCAGCAGTATCCAAAGGGAACATCAGACCGCTGGGATAAAATAGCCAAATGCGTTCCTGGGAAAAGCAAGGTATGCTTAGTTGTGTTTGGACTGTAGCACAAACCAAGGGAAAACATAGTTTCTCCCAGTTTATGATTCCCTTAAGAACTTTACACAGCCCGGACGTCATCAGCCCAGGGACCGTTACGGTCATGTCTGCTGGTTTTGGTTTAAAACCTCTCTCCATTTTAATTCAGTGGGTTTGACCTATTGCAGAAAATGCCGAAATCCCTCCCGTTTTCATTTAAAATTCCTACCTCTCCTCTGCCTTTCAGCTCTTCAGTTGCAGGACAGATGAGATTTCAAAACCGATGTTGATTGGGAGTTAGGAAGCGAGCGTGGGCAAGCGCTGTGCTGATCACAATGCCCTGCTCAACCCCCCTCAGCCAACAGGCCCAGTAATCCATCTGCAGGCGTTAAACGCTCCGTTATCTAACTGCCTCTTTCTAAGTGTAATCATCGTCACACCGCGTTAGCCACCGCTGATCTAGTCGGTTGGCGCTATATTCCATCATCGTTGTGGTGGATTAGCGTGTTTGCTTCCGTCATTGCAGCTGCAGAAAATCCATATTTGTGCCAAAACCAGTGAGAGAGCAGGAAGTGTGGGTGGGGGGTGGGTCTGGTGCTGCTTGACAGCACCTGATGTCAGTAGGTGCTGAGTTGGTGACTGTAAAGGCTTGTCTTTGTATCCCGTCTGCAGCGTGGCTCTTCAGAGAAGTCACCCATTAAGATGCCTAAACTGGAAGCACATTTTCCTAATCCGCTCGGCGCTAGATGTAGCTCCTCCTTCTGAAATTCAGCGCACAACTTTAAAAAAGACTCCCCCAAACCCCTCCCCGGGATCTAGCTCTTCTTCTAGAATGAATTTATGGAGTTAAAGCAATGCTAAAATGCCAGCCTTTCACTTAAGACTCTCGTTTTTCCTTTCAGGAGGAGTGTGTAGCAAGATACAAGTTGCTTGTTGAACTGGTACAAAAGAAAAAAATGGCTAAAAGCTGAACGTTGTGAGCAGAAGCGATTTAGCTCGTCCCTGTCCCAGTGGGGGCTGAAGTCTCACACGCAGGAAGCCGCGCGTTTGTACCTCACTATTCTCTACGTCATGTGCCTTAGTAAAAGCAAATGCCAATAAAGGTTAGAGCATCCTACCTGCAGTCTGTGTCGGAGCACGAAGGTGTATGCCCGCGCGTCGGGGAGCTGCTTACGCAGACGCGCGATCGCTACACATTCATGGACTGGGAGGAAAAGCCACGCTGGCACTCGCAGGCTGGAACTGGCAGGTTTACAGCTCGTGAATGTACAGGGTATGAGGAATTTTAACTCTTCTTTTTGAGGTGAGAATTGATCTGAAACTGTTAAGCGAGGACGAGAGTAACGAAACTGCGCACTCGAGACCTTCCAGCTGTAAAGAGGAGACGGGGTGCTTACAGGCACCTCAGCTGCGAGGTGAAATGTCATTTCACAACACTGTTATAATGAACCAGGTGGTATTTCACTCCCGCGTACTTGCGTCTGCACCCGCGGCGCAGGCTCTCTCTTGCCAACTGGCAGGCCAGTGTGCAGAGGTGTTTGGTAGCGCTGTTCTTTGGTAAAGCTGAAGTGGGCAGGGACCTGAAAGGCCTCTAAGAGGTATGTGCTTCATGGCCAGGTTTTAACTACAAAATAGGACTTAGAAGCTACCGTCTTTGGGCTGAGAGCTCGCGTGTTTGGAGGAGGGGGCATTGTATACCCTGGATTCAGTACAGTTTGATCATCTGTTTGACAGAGAGGCAATAAGGGTGATTAGTCACTGATTGCTACTTTGTTTTTCAGAGTTTTGGAAAAGCGATAAAAAGCTCAAGGTGCTGGAATAGAGGGCACTTCATGGGCTGTGAATTAGGTCAGTAAATCAGATCAGTTAAATCATAACCCTTTGCAAGAAACATGAAGGACTTGCTTTTCTTTTTTAAAGAATAGATTCCCACTCGAGTTCTGATTTAATACCAATTCTAATAGGTTTCTGAGCTTTCATTCAAAATTAAAATGAAAAAGCAGAGGTCCGTGTAGCTGAACTCAAAATTGGAGTTTGGTGGTTGAAAATCTCCTCTAACTTCCTGCCATTTACACTGCCTGCCAGTTGCTTCTGATGGGTCAGCATTTCACAAAGTTTCATCCCATTCCCATAAAACCTGACTGGGGAAGTACTGAGGGAAGGTAATGGTGTTCCATTTGTGTTCCTTACCAACTAGAGCTTTTTTTTTTGGGTCTTATATAAAGAATTACTCATGGTAAAAACATTAGGGAAGCCTCGCTAGACTGAAAATAATGCATCTGCACTTTGTTTCGCAGAGAATGTTGCAGGTAACTGGACAGGGACCAAAACACAGTTGGAAGCTCTGCTGCGCTGTGTGTGCGCTCGTGGGTCAGAGTAGTTCTGCGCTGCTGACGCACCCGTGACCATCACGAGAGAGTGGAGAGATACCAGGGCACCGTAAACAGGCGTTAGTCATCCAGAGCGCTCAGAGCTGTACAGCCAGGTCACTGAAATGGCTGCAAAGAAAAGCTGCCGAGACGGTTAGGTGGTGAAAATTAACGGAGCGTTGATAGGGCCGGGATAGAAGGACATGAGCAAGTGGAGACACATTGTTCATGAAAGAAATAGCCTGGTAATTGGAATATTTCTGCTGTTTCAAAAGCAGCAAGGGAGGGGAGAGTGTAGCCCGTGCAGATAAAAGGGTCAGGCTTCCTTTCCACTCTGGGTTTGGGAGATTTCACCTGAAGGGTGTGCCCAGCTTGGTACATCACAGCAAAGGCAGATGTACACCAGCCAGCAGAGAGCGTGATCCAGAGGCTGCACAGCTGGATTTGCCAGGAAGGACAGGTGGTGTTGGTGTTTGCTCCACGGTAGAGAGAGAAATCTTCAAGTACGTAAAAGGGGAGCTTTGCACTTGCCGTGATCTGTGTTTCCCCCAACACAGTTGATACAGAACTCTTAGACTGTTACAGTCTGTTGTGGCTGTGAAGTGAGTCAGGGCTCACTTTTGAGTGAGAAACAGAGATACTGGGGCAAAGCAATCCAGTGGCAAATGTAGTGAGGGCTTGGATGCATTTATCATTGGGAGATCTTTAACACACACTTTGGGGGTGTAAGAGTTACCTGCTCCAGTCTTGCCTGTGTCGCTCCCATGTGTGTGGCAGCAGCTATGTACTGCCTGCCCAACACCTTCGGCTTCTCTCCGCCCTGACCCTTCTGGGCGGGGGTCTGAGGCAGAAGGAGCAGCAGCACCTGTGGCAAGAAACGCGTTTCTCTCTTTTCTCAGTGTGAACGTTCTTCAGACAATGTCACACGGCGCTCCTGGCAAATACGGGTTATCTGAAGGAAGATCCTTAAGGGTGGGCAAAGGCTGCACGTGTCCTTGTGTCACGCTTGTCAGGCTGGGTACCAGCAGTGATGGGCAGGAATGGCTACTCACAGGTGCTGCTTGTGCCTGCATGGAGGCGATGGCAACTCCTGCCAGCCTTGGTTCTAGCGCAGGATGCCGATGTTTTCCAAGGAATGCCAATTTGCTTTTACTTTCCTGGGCAGTTGTGAGCTGGACCTCCAAGTGCCTTTTGCACCAGGATTTTGTGCATGAAAAGTCTTTGTTCTTACAGGGGGCTGTGCTGTAGCTTCTGTAGGGTAACTTGCACTTGAATCAGTCAGATCCGAGTCTTATTTTGCCCATCTTCCACATGTCCCTGTTGCTGGGACTCTCCAGAAAGGGGCATTTAGGGCAGGCTAGCCAGGGAGGGCAGGATTCCTGAACCATGCTGAGGATACAGTCCACACGCCGAGCTAAAGCACTGGGATTCTGTAGATCCTGCGCCAGTGCAGAGCACGACTGCGATGCTCTATAGGCCAATAGCGCTCTGGTTTAGGTTGGTTTCGTTCTCAAACGGGCTGTTCTGCAGCGTCCATCACATCTCATAAACGCTGGGGCTGTATTGTTCTCAGCTTTACAGCTGACCACGACTGAACTAATGGAAAACCACCTTTGTTTCAGGGAAGAGTTCGCAACATGACCTCTTCATGCGGTGAGAGTCTGACAGCAATGGAACCAGCGAGTGTTTGACTTGAAAAGAGCTCTCCTTCGGCAGAGCTAGCAGAGAGGCTGTAGTGCAACTTATGAGAAACAGGCACCAGAAAACCCGTTAGTCAGATGTCAGAGAGCGGCTCCTGCCAACGCAGCTTGAAAGGATAGAGTTGATAAAAACGGGATTTGAGATGTTGCAGGCTGTTCAGAATGAGTTGGCTGCGGTAGGCTGTAAGGTGTGTGGTCACTCATCAGTAATGCTGGATTTTGGGTAAAAAAACAGCAGGAAGTTCCAAGGCTCTCTGAAATGCAGCCCCTTTCACCTGCGCCGCGCTGGTGGCGCTGAACCTGGCGTGGTTCCTGAGGGCTGCTCAGCAACCCATGACTCGGCTGCTCAGGCTGCTGTGGCAACAGAGGCATTCCACGGGGATGGCAGGGCCGGCTTCTGCTGCACCAGCACCACATCAGCCACAGCCCAGCACCTTTGACGTCAGATCTGCAGAACCATCCAAAGGAGGTTGGTTTTGACGGCATATGGGTTTGATGTGGTCCCATCCTTGAAAGGGTTGGTGAATCGGGTTTTTGTTTGGATGCCAGAACTGTCCTTTTCAGTATTTCCCTGCTGTCAGTTGTTGGCCCATAGGACCATGGGTACAGCAAAACAGCCGCTGCGGCTCCAGTCTCTAACAAGCGGAGATTTGAAGAACATCCTGAATTTGGCCATCTCCCTAACATTTCCAACCTTGCCCCTTTCACACTTCTTACATCCGATACCAGAGTCGAGGCAGCCCCTCCCAGAAAAAGAGACAAGGAAAAGCAGGACTTACCCTTTTACGGGTCACGATGGTGCTGCAGCAGGCAGGGGAGCAAGGTGACTGACTTCTTATCTACCAGGTGAAGCATTTGGATTCCTCGTAGGTCTGTGAATCAAGCAGCAGTAACGTGACCCTCGGCCATGACCCCAGGGAGTCGTGAGTCCCCAGACGCCGTATGGGGCTGTTCTTCCCCCAGCACCTCCAGTTCCAGCAGTATGAAGCAGACATCTGCGGCCCAGCACGTGCGTGCCTGATACTCGCCCTGCTTTGTGCTGACTGACGCAGTCAGTGCCCTACAGCCAGAAGAAGAAGTGGTACCCAGTGCTACAGCTTCTCCAGGCCGTGCATGGGGCTCATCAGCAGAAGTGCCTTCTGCTCCACTCGCTCCTCAACCTCCTCACCCTACAGCCTCACTCGGCTACCCCCAGAGTGCAGGGAGCTGTTGCTAGCCCTGACAGCTGAGAAGCCATGCAGCAGCAGGGGATGTTAGCCATGCCCCAGCTGTGCCCGGTGACCATTCCCATTCCCCTACTGCTACTTCCAAGCCTGCTCATCTACCCCTCTCCCTTCAGGACTCCTGCTTTCCCCTCGGAGAATGAACGCGCAAACACGCCGTCCTCAGGCCTTGAGCAGATGCGACAACGTGCCGGCGGCACAGGCCTACAGCAACACCACCTTCCCACTGCTTTTCCCAAAAGCTGATCTCGGCCCCTGACCAGCAGGGAGCTGTAGGGCGCCCCGTGTCTGCCAAAGCCTGGGCCACCACCGACCGCCTCTCTTGACATGTGAGAAGGGTCAGTTCCCCCTCGCTGCCTGAGGAATGAAGAGCAGGAGTTCAGCTCTGTCTTTACCAACCAGCAACACCGCAGGGAAAACGGGGCTGATGACAGAGAAGGCAGCACAAAAATGACAGCAACGACCCAAGGCCTCGACCACCTTCAGGCAGGCACCGTGGAGGTGAAGGGCCCATCCCAGCTCCCCACAGAGCTCCCGGCACATTACATCAAACCCAGCCGGGCGCGCATGATCGCGATACCCACAATCCTTCCCGTCACGTGACACTAGGAGAAGCGCTCCGTCTTCCGCTAAACCCGGGTTCGCAGAGGCTGCACGGATCTGTAAACATTACTGAAGTTTATTAACAAAAGCTCTGTACACATCTCTTCGCACACGCGGAATTTTACATCTCGTCAAAATACGGGCACATTCCCGCCTTACCTTCTGTACCAACCGTTACAGAACATCCACCAGCGGGCTGCCTCAGGAAAATAAACCACTGGGGTAACTTTTGTCAAGTATCTACAAAAGTGATTTGTGACATTTTTTTCTTTAAAAATTCCCCAGAACGTATAAAAATAAATTATTTTTTACTTCTTTCAATTAAATCTGCTAATTAGAAATATTACAAATCAAAATATCAATGTTTTTCTTCGGAATTCTTTCACAATACAAAACAGATTCACAAAACTTTATTTACAGAAATGAGGTAAGAACTGTGCAATGTTTAACTAAGAAACATATTGCAGAATTAACATGTTCTTCCAAGTACACAGTGGAGGTCTAATTACAGCTGGGTCTTTTCCTCTAATAATTCCCACTGGGACATGGACTAGTGGTCATCGCCCCCCTCACGCTACCCCTCCCCACACTGCATAGACTGGCGCCATGACATCAGCTGCTGTCGGAAGCGTCGTAACACGATTCACCCGTTTCAACCACTGGGAAGTTTCAGTGGGAAATAGTAACTCACTTTTTTGGTCATTTATTAGTGAAAAGTGACCCAGGTAACACTCTGCCTGAGCTATCAAACCCCTCTAGGAAAGGCAGAACAAGGCGGCTGCTGGTGCAACACGGAATATTCCCGCCGCTAACACGGACACGTCTAGTGCAGGATCAGCTGTTTGCAGCCACGTCAACAAAACGGAGGTAGCAACAGGCACTTGGGTTAGGCCAAACACTAACGTCCTCCTCCCAGCGTGGCCTTCTCGTCTGGTAAGGAAGCGCTCTCACGGGAGCCAAACCGGCCCCTTTAAAAACCTCAGGACTCTAAAACCTACACCAAAATTAACAAGCTTTGGGTTCCAAACTGTAATTCTTACTCGGGAAAAACTCCCGCTATGTAACAACAGGGATCTGAAGGAATGAGAAGCTCAGAAGTGGGTTCCCTTACGAGTTGGGTTTCACAACAGGCGTGGAAGGAACGAAACAACGAGCAGCGAGTCTGGGCTGCCCTTACACCCTGGTCTAGAGGGGAGGCTGCCCAGGGCAGGGGCTGGTTTGGGTTTTAAAACTACTGCTCCGACACCACGGGAACACATGACTGCCGACGTCTGTCAGACCAGGGCTGAAGAGTCAAGTACGTGGGTTTCTGTGGTTGAATGTGTACTTGGTACCATCGTACAGGCAAAATAACTACGGTTTGCAGGGTTTTAGCTACGTCACAGTCTGAAACGTTAAAAAGTACGTCCGTTTAGTGCAACAGGAGAGCAAACGAAAGCTACCAACGCCAGCCTTGTGAAACCCGTTACCCTTCTGCCGTGCAGCGAGAGCTCCTCGTCGCATTTCTTCAGCCTGCAGAAAGGAGAGCAGCAGGTTGCAGCCAAGCGAAGTGCTATAACAGTGGGGCACGCAGTTCACCAGCCTCAGTCAAACGTCAGCTCTTCTCCGACGCAACGGGTCCAGTTTTATCGTTGAGCCTCTGTGTAAGAGAAAATACTTCTAAAAATCAGGTTATAGCATACAGAGCTAAGTAAAATCAGAGTCACGGGAGTGACGAAGCAGACGAGGTATGTCCAGTGGCACTATCCAAGCGGGAACTTCTGCATGGTGAACACTAGCTGTGCACTGTAGGATAAAAATTGGGAAAGGAAGGAGTAATTGAAGGAGCGGTATACCTTGGAGAAACTCCCAGCAAGGCCACCACAGGTAGCACTAGAAAACACCACTTTTGCTTCTGCTTTCATGCCAATGCCGTTCCTGGCTGTCGGGCTCTCCTCAGAACCCCAGGAAGGCCAGGACAGACTCCAGGTGACCCCTGGTAGGCTCTACCCACTGGCGAGGGGCCGAACCCCACCCGGCTCCATCAGAACAGGAAGGCAGCTTCCATTCTGCTCCCGCCACGACTGGCCGTCCGTCGCGAGTCGCTACAGAGGCTTTTCCTGCAAGTATCGAATAGGGCTGCGCGCAAACGCCACCTCACTCACCCAGCCCTCAGAAACACTTGGAAACCAGGTCCAACCAGAATGAGATTAAAACACTCAGAACTTTGGCAAATAGAGAATTTGTTAAAAACTCTTTTTGGGTTAAAATAGCTCAGCAGCCCGACACAATCCGTCTCCAGTCTAACCTTTAAAAAATATCAAATGCATTCCAAAAGACATTTATTTCTACAGGTTTTGTTCCAAAGATGTGCGGGGAGTTCCTGGGACTGTTTACAGTGAAGTGCTGTAAGGACAAGAACGAGAGCCGGAGCAGCGCACCTGTAAAACCCACTAGTGCCGCCTGGTCACACCGCCCAGAGCAGAACAGCCGTTGTGGAAATCCAGAATGAGGTCACGTACAGCACAGTCTGTCCTGAGGCAAACCAAACACAGGGTCTCCCTTCCATTCACTGCTCATTTTTAGGAAACGAGGGGAGGTAAATTTTAAAGGTACTAGAACAAATGGCAACTTGACCGGAGCAAACCCCTGCGCAAGAGCCCTTCTGCTAGGACAGTCAGGGACCGGGCAGAACGGGATCCTACTGGTTTGCAGTACCTCGGCTGCAGCATCACAACAACAGAGCAAACTGGGAACCCACAGCGAGCACATGCACAGCTCGATGGAAGTGAATGCTCCTGGTTTTGAACGGAAAGGAGCCATTTCCAGGAAAACTGTCTTGAAAATTCATCATTTGTGTTTTGGGTCTCACCTTACGTTTGGCAAGTACCCCAAAAGCCCAGCTGTCTGAGTCCCTCTCCACCACCAGAGGAAAAAAAAAGGTAAAGTAGCTGGAGCCTTCGGGGATGGGGAGCAGAGAGGGGATGCCAAACTCTTCCCAATGCCTGCTGCTGCAAGCTTCCCTTTTTTCACTGCCACTTGATAGTTTTCCCAAGGAAAACTTAACTTGTCTTCCTGCTATTCTCACCCTTCATTCTCACAAGTTCCACATGCTCCTTCCCTTCATCCTCTCTCGTCTTAACTGTATGACACTGAGTTTATGAGGTCTATTCTCTGACTACTTGAAGAAAGAATTCCAGTCTTGGGGATGAAGGCTACGGGCTGATGCTGAAGACAATGGAACACCATGGCCAGAAAGATGGGCCTTGTTTCCTTATCTGCCTAGAAAAAGTTTTATTACTCATCAAGCGAAGGAGTGGCTCAGCCTCCCAGCGTGCAGCCTCACCTTCCCATGCCAGAACCAAGCTAGGCAGAGCCCGCTCTCCTCACGCCTATTTCACCTTCCCAGCAACAGGCTCCTCATCTCTCACGTCGCCAACTAATCCCTGCAGCCGCGCAGTGCCTGACGCCTGGCCCGGACAAACTCCTCAAGTAAGGTGGCAAAAGGAACGATGAAGCTGGGGAAGAAGCGGGGTGAGGAGGACTAGGGCTGCAGTGGTAACTACAAGAGGAAGGCAAGGCTCCCTGGATCCTGATCCGGGGAAGCAGGAGTGTGCAGCAGACAGGTCAGGCGCAAGCGACCACAAGCTCATGGAGCTCTGAACCTCACTACGTGCAGCCCAAGGCTCAAGAAACGGAAAAATCCACCATCCTTGAGCTGTGAATACAGCACATGGCTTCTTATCTTTTAGGTACCTCACAGCGGTACCACACTGAAAAACGAGCTGGGAAATATACTTACTGTCACCTTCTGTGCTGCGTTGTCTCCGTGAATTGTCAGGAACGGGTTGGTAGTGGCTGCATTAAGCGGCGAGGCCTGTGTGCCTGAAAGTAAGTTGTTGATGGGTATCTGTGCTCCTCCAGTGATCTGCAGTTGCTGTACTTCAGACTGATGGTGTTGGTGGTGGTGATGCTGCTGCTGTACTAATTGATACAAAAGGGCCTGGTGTTGTTCCTGGAGTAACGTAAGGAGAGGGAGGGGGGGAAATCAAGAATTAGTTACTGAAAAATAGCTCCTCTCTGGGTTCTTGCTTATCCAAATCAGTCAGTGCAACCCTTAACCTAATCCCAGCTCATTTAGGTTACGCTAACAAAGTTCCACGAGACTGTGGGAACGGAAAGAAGTGCCTGTACAGTTTCCTGCAGTCGATAGCTCAGCAGAAGCTCAGCTAAGCCTGCTGCTTCCTCGGCCTCTATCGAAGAGGCATACCTGAGACAAACAGCAAACCACGTCTGTCAAAGAACCAAAACTACACAATTAGCAACAGTTAAACCAGTCACCTAATGACCTATATGAATACTGCAAGGCAGAGCAAAGACAGCTCACGAGAGGATACCCAGAAATCTTTAGCTAGAGTCCTAGTGGAATCGGAGAACAGCTCAGGGTATTGTCAGACCCCACAGTCCCAAACTCAGCTGATGCTGAGAGACAAGCCACCACATCCACATGGGACAAAACGGGTCTGCAGGTGCAGGGAAGGATTCTTCTGGCAACACACACAGCCCAAGAACACCCTGTAATTTAGCATGACTATCACCCAAAAAGCGGAAGCAACTGAAAGATTCTCAGAACCTGTAATAGCAAGTTAAACACATGCCTAGTATCTCCATTAGGCTGAGTTTATCCATGCTTCGGGATACAAACAGAAGAATAAAGTATCTGGAAGACTTACTGATGTGAGTTGCTGGGTACTTAGTAACTGCTGGAACTGCTGGTGCTGCTGATGGAGTAGAAGTTGTCTCTGTTGGTCAGGAAGCAACCCTAGTCCCGAGGCACTGTGGGGTGTGACAGGGCAATACCGTAGTTTATATGAAAGTATGGGAACTTTCTGCTGCAGCTTTCCATTGAGACAAGAAACGATGTACACAAACAGACAGCTCCTATGTACATTTCGACTGCACAGTCAAATGTATTATGTGATACATACCTAGACACTATCACCACCCCCAGTCTCGTTTATGCTGAGCAACAGCAACTTCTTACCCATAACCTAAGTCTACTATGTGCACGTTACTTTAAACTCGGGTAATAATTACCGTTTCTACATTTTTCCAAATACTCTATACAGAAAGGACAGAGTTTACACTGAAGGGCAGGTCTTGCCCACTTTTAACGCTTAGTTAACGAGCCTTTACTTCACCTTGGTTCCCTTCCAATTCTCATCTTTTGCTACAACCCAAGCTCTTGCTGTTGCCCGTACTGTCTGTACACAGCGCACACGCAGCCGTGACATGGGCCAGCTGACACTTCTGCAGAACGGAGCGGGCTGCCTCTGCACGCGCCGACCCCTTAGCTCTCAGTCCCTCTTTCCATACCTACAGAACATTTTCTTCAGCAATTTAGGAAACTGGGCAGGGAACTGACCCAGCCAACAACTGCTCTGGAAATAACAGGTTGCTTCAGCAGTGCCAGTTCATGGCAAGACCAAGAGCATGAGCAAGGGCTGCCCTGGAACTGAAGGCCAGGAAGACAGCTGGATTCCCTCCTGCGGTACCAGTGTTAGCTTTTGCTGGTTTAAAACACCCCCTGAATTATTAAGTTTCATGATAGGTTTACCCTGCTACTGAAAGGGAATTTCTCTTTCAGCAGTACATTCCTGTGCCCTCCCTTCGCACTAGTCGTCGCACAATGAGCTGCTGCTTGTGGGAGTGGAGCTGAAACCTCGGCCAATGCCAGACACGCTGGAGGACTGCCTGTCCATGTAGGTGAGGTGGCTGTGTGAATGCACGAGCACTAGTACCACCAAGGTGTGCGTAGGACCACCATCAGGACAACAGGATTGCTAGTTGGGATTGGTAGTAAGGAATTAACTTAAACCAGCCACAAAGCCACACAGGTAGGCTACAACCACTTGGCTCTCCAGGACACAGCATTTATAATGCCTCTCTACAGTCGCTAGCAGACCAGGCTGGCCCCGCGATCACTTCAGCATTTACTTTGTCTTAACCAGACAGTATGAAAATACCCACAGCAGCCCCCTTCTCTGCTGCTGGGACAGAGCAGGCAACACAAACCTTGTTTCAGACTTGCTTGGATGGCCTCCGTGCTGTGGGAAATGCATGCTGGGCTGCGCTCGCTATTTCCCAACATCCACTACTGTCATTTCTACCACTCTCCCAATTCTCAAGCTTCTTGTCAACAGTCTTTTCCCTAGCCAAGAAGTCACAGAATGGTTTGGGTTGGAAGGAACCTTAAAGACCATCTAGTTCCAACATCCCTCCACTAGACCAGGTTGCTCAAAGCCTCATCCAGCCTGGCCTTGAACACTTCCAGGAATGGGGTATCCACAGCTTCTCTGGGCAACCTGTGCCAGTGCCTCACCACCCTCTCCAGGAAAAACTTCTTCCTGATATCCAATCTAAATCTACCTGCTTAATTTTAATGGCTTAATTTAAAGCCACTGCACCTTGTCCTATGAAAGACAATCTACTTCCATTCCACTAGCCTGGTCTTTCACGAGCCATTTTGCCTCTGCCTGGTCTTGCTGTGCTGGTTATTTCCTTGCATTATATCCTTTTTCTGAAACTGCATCATCAGAACAGCACATAATATTCCAGGTGCACACACACCAGGGATTTAATGTGACAGAACACAGAAGGGATAACACCATTCTGTTTATTCCCCGCTAGCTGCTAGCGATGTCAGTTTGACTGCTGATGAAAACAGAGATGACACTTCACCTATCCAAGGAAACTCCTGTATTTTCCTCCTGAGCTGCTACAGGAAAATTCAGGCCTAACAAAAGCTAGAACTGCACACGTTTGACTTTGCAACAATGACACTCATCAATCTGAAATTCCTTCATACAGCTTTAAATTTAACTGTATCAAAAATACTTGTAACAACTGCAAAAAATAAGTATCTTCTGTTTGATTAATATTACCACTATTTCCTCCTTCTCTTTTTCTGTATTCTGGTGTACTGCAATGAATCTTCTGCACAGCTGTTTCATTCTTTTATCCCATTCCTTCTTTCTTCCTAGATCACATTTTACCTTTACACTTCTTTTTTCTGCTGCTGCTCTCCCTTCTCTCTCTGCTCCATCCTCCTCTCTTCTCTGCATCAGCACTCCGTCAGCCCGCAGCTGAGATCTAAGCGTCTAGAAACACAACCCAGCTGCAGAGGCCAAACACTGCAGCTCCCGAGCTTCCCAGAAGAGGCACTTCGCCACATTTCACCACAGAGCTTTCTCCTCTAAACCAGTTCAGCTTGGAAGGTACATTTAATCCCTTTTTGCTTCTTGTTAAAAGGTGTACGATCAGTCTGGAACTCTCCATCCAGAGTCTCCTCTGGTTGTGAGAATGCAAGAAACAATCCTGTATCTTTCCTCAAATCACTTCATCTCCCAGTTCCCAGCAGTCTGTTTAAGCCATCTTTCCCAGAAGGCTCGACTGTTTTCCCCTCCCAAACGAATGTAGGCTCCTTTACCCACAGCTGCAGTGTGCAGCCGGGGGTTCTCAGCCCCGTGTCCCACAGTTAGAGTTCACGTGAGTAAGGACAACACGTGTATAGAAATTTTCATCTAGTGGGGAACGATCTGGCTGTTTGTCACCAGGAGCTGTCCCCCACAGAAGCTGAACCTTGGGAAGTTACTTTTAAGCAGGAATATCTGGGAAGACTTTTCATTATAGAAAAACACAAGAAAGTTAGAAAGTAGGGCTGACTTCTCAGGGAAGAAGGCGATTCCCATCACCTTGGGAATATGGATTTAAGCCAGCTCCAAACTGGCTCATCACCAGGCGACCTGACCGGGTTCGGAGAGCTGGCAGTGGTGTGGTAGGAAACCCCCAGCACCACACAACCCTCCCAGCCACGCAGTTCAGGGAGCGCTGATGCCCTGAGGAACCTCACGTTGAAGAAACAGCCAGCCGCTTCCCACACACACACACACACACACACACTTAATTCCGTCATCCCAGAGCCTCTTCCCAGCTCAGCTCCACTAACAGAAAAGGTTTCTCATGTTTTTCACTGATGCATTTGTAACGGAAGAAACAGGAAAGAGGAACGCACATCTCATCGCTAAAATCATACTAGCACTAATGAGCATCAGTGCGTGCTCAGTCTGAACTTCTTTCCTCTAAACAGAGGAAACAAACATTGAAAACTCACAGAAAATGGGAGCAATTGTGAAACACCTCAAAGCGAAGGGGCCCAGCAAATTACCTGGATGAGCTCAGTAAAGCAGAGAATCACGTGGAAAGGGCACTTTTAAATTTAAAATAAACACTGATCTTAAAATGAGTTGTAAATTGTTCTTGAGGGAGCAGTGCAGAAAGAGCGTGCAAGAACAGAAAGGGAAAAATGGAAATGCTGGCAGCGCTGTGCATCATAAGCTGCTGCTTGTAGCAGAAAACACGGAATCACTGGGGTATTCCAGACTATGCTGGAAGTTCGAATGAAAGCTAATGAACAGGTATTGGTTGCAGCATTCTGTGTGAACTGGAGTAGTCTACTACTGGGCTACACACTCAAGAGCAGTAAAGATGGATATATAAATAAAAAATAGACAAAAGAGCTTCCCGCAACATAAAGAGGCAGAAATAAATAATCTGTGTATTAACAACATGATAAGAGAAACAGCAGCATGACTGGTATATTTTGGCATAACCAGAAAGCATTACACAGCTGGTTAATATTACTGATTTTGTCTAGTATTTCCCACCCCTCCTCACACTTCTGGGCAGAGGAACGCAACACTTCTGCGCTCCCAGCAGACCCGCAGCGAAGAGGGCAGCTCCAGTAACACGAGGTCTTTTGTTTAACGTACAAAACGTCACGTTCACGGGACACGAACTATCCTCAGTAAAAACACAACGGCACACCCAAACACCGGGATACGCTGGGAAGTGGGGGGGTTTATGAGCCTATGTAGGCAACACCACACAGCGGTACTGTTACACGAACATCCAGGGGCTGCCACACAAACAGCCAGGAAAGAAACTGGGAAAAGCAGCTACAGAGCCAGGGATCCCTTGCATCATTCCCATCACGTGCTTTTTTTGGTGGGTAATCCACCATAAGCTCCAAAAATAAACTCTGCTTAAAGACAGAGTAATTCACTCCCTACTTGCGGGCGTTTCTTCCTACACGGAGCCGCGGCACTCCTTCCTCAGCGAAGCATGATGCAAGGGGGGCGGGGAGAATGAGTTAGCCCAGCCTGAGCTCTATCCCAAAACACTTCCAGACCAAGGAGTACATTGCCCTTCCCGGGAAGCAGCTGTCTCCTTTTGTTACCCTTTGCCTTGCAGCTCAAGCAGCAGCGGTTAATGCTACTGGGGATACCTGTTTTTTGGGGAAGGGCTGTTAGAGAACACTCAAACGTGGATCTTTTCATACGTTTAAAAACCCTTTGGAACACCACTTCAAACAGTAATCCTGGGGTCTCTGGAGTCAGAGACGCAGAGCACCGACAACACCACGCAACGTTATCAGTACTCTGGTTAGTTCTGCCTATTACTCTTCAGTTACATGATTGTGTACCTTCTCCCCCTCCCATGCCCCCTCCTCACTGCAACAAATGGTGGCCTTTCCAGTGCTACTTTAACCACGGAATAACAATTGGCAGGACAAAGAACATTGTTTTCTGAACTAAGACAAAGAGCTGAAGCACATTTACATAATTACATTTGTTTGGGACTGTGCCTTGATTAAAAAAACAGGAATAAACGGACACCAGGATTCCCAAAAGCTAAAGAGAAAACATCTCTCCTTTAACTTGACTGTTCGTGCTGCCACGAAACGCCGCCTTCCTGTCATTCCCAGGTCAGGCGCAGAACCCGGTTTGGCATTACAGGCTAAGGAAGAAGCTACCTCCCGACTAAGGGGCTTAAACATCAGAGCTGAACTGAAGAACAGCAGGCCCTCCCAGGAAAACCCAAAATCAGCACACTCTTACCTGTTATTTAGCGTGGTGGGCAGAGGATGCGTTGCGCTGGGTGGCACAGTTGCATGAGCGAGAGGAGAGGGGTTCTGCGATATTGTCGCTGGGGTCTGAATTACCCCATTTAAAGCCCCTACAATTCCATTGATTGCCAGCTGGCTGGCTGGCAGCGCTCCAATTATTCCACCCACCCCCGGCACCGCAGGAATGGTGGAGGTTACAGTCTGCATACCACTCGCTAGTGCCCCCACTGTCACACCATTGACCTGTTGAACCGCCGGGACTGCGGAGCCCGGCTGAGCTGGACTCTGCCCGGCAGGCGGTGGAGTGGAAAGAGCTGATGAACTGCTGGTGCTTTGTCCGCTGGAGGTTATCTCCTGGCGTAAAAACAAACAACAAACCCCCTCAGCCGCGTAACATTTCACCCAGCAGCACAAGGCAGGGACTAGGAGGAGTTAACCAGTTGAGAAGAAACAATTAAAATTACCTGATTTAATACAGGAAGAGAATTGTCCGGTAAAAAACTGTTTCCCAGATGAGGGCTTTTACTGCTGTTCAAGGAATCGGTGCTAGGTGCTAAAGTAATTATTTCAAAAAAGAACCAAACCAGAGAGTGGTTACATTTCTGTAACAAGTAAAAAGATTCACAACACTTATTTCAAAGTAACATCAGGGGTAAAGATAGAAAATGTAACATCAACCTGAAAACACTGCTGAATAGTAAAATATTAACGAAAGCACTGGTGAATCAATAGATTCAAACAGATGCGCTCCACACTGAAGCAACAAGCAGTAATGGTTCGTATCAACCTTCCAACTGACTGTTAAACATTTAAACACACCAGCACATACAGTCTGTATTCGCCCCACACGCGTGTGCGTCGCCCCGTCAGCGGTGTGCGTGGATGAAATGGATCGTTTGTATAAATACATGTGCGAATTAATCTCCTCTCCCTACCTGCTTGGACTGGGAAGGCATGTACGTGATGAGAAGGGCTAGGATTGGAAGTTATTGTTGGAAAGGGCACGGAAAGCTGTGCATTGAGTAGCTGGAGCCGCTCCTTCTTAGCCGTCAGGTTCTTGATCTGCTCTTCCAACCGCCTGTTTTCAACCTGAAGTTGGTGCAGTGATTTAAGCATTCCTAAAACTAAGGTAAAAACGCATATGTTATCTTTTGCAGCCACATTCAAAGAATGAGGAATATATTTGTTTCTTTTCATTTCTGTATTACAATTTCAGACTAACATCAAGCCATACGTGAAAAGACAAATAAAATTATTACTGAGAGACACATTACAGAAATTTGACTTTAAGTGGAAAAGCTTAGGATCAATTTGGTGTAATTTGAAGTGCAGAAAAATGTACATAGCATGTGATAGTAATTTTGCACTATGTCCACACCCAGATTTAAACACAGATTAAGTCCCGTCATTAGGGCTGACATTCATTTTAAGCAAACAGCTGCACATGATAACTTATCTCCAAACCAGAACATAAAAGTAGTATTATTTTAGTAGTGCAGGTTAATTGCAGAGTTGGGGGGGAAATCTATTTCAGCTGCAGTATTAGAAATTTTAAACATCACTGAAACAGAACATGTTGGACAAACGCACATTCAAGTAACGACACGGCCGACCAACAATGTTTATGTAAAACCAAGGAAGTTTGTGAAAAGGGGGATTTTCTGCTTTAATACCCCGTACAGTGAATCACACACTTGGAGAAACAATGCAAAAAAAGCCATGCAGCGTGAGGCGGCGGGGCGCGCTGGGCGGCGATGTGCGCGTCCCCCAGCAGGGAGCACTGTGCGAGCACGGCACTTCCCGCCCCTCCTGTGCGGCAGAAGGGCAGCATCTTCTCTGCTGACCTCGCTTTTACCAAGCACCCGTTTCCCAAACTTCGATTTGGTTTCAGAACTTGGATTTCCCCAGCAGTGCCAGAGTGTGACTGTAAAGCCACAGGGATAGCCTATTTTTTTTTTTTTTTTTTTAAATTCTAAATTGTATTTGTTTAACATGACCTCTGGGCCTACTACAGACATAAGTCTACTGGTATAGGCACATCTGGTCATTTCCCAAGGATTTAGCTTTTATCCCTCCTCTTCAAGAACATACAAAGGAACCCTCAGTGAGCCCAAATGAGATGCAATAAGACTTAGCTAAACCTGTCCTCCAGCTATCATGTTTAAAGGATTATCCCTGCATGAATTTCCTCGCAATTAGCATTTTTGTCAGGATACCATTCATAAAAATACCAACTAGGTACCACTTCACACAACCAACAAGAGGAATACTATGCTCAATAAAATATAGCAGAAACCCTAACCTGGTATGAAAAACATTTTTTTCAGTGTATGCAGTCCTTGCCTTTGATACTGATACACTGTCGGGTACGGAGATCCAAGTGGTCTGCTCATCACTTACGCTTTAACGTGTTCATTCCTGGACCACTCCACTCTACTGCACATGACTTGAGAAAACGATGATTTGCTTGCTTTGAGAATTTCGCAGAAATACAGAACATAAAGACAGGAAAGCCCAGCAGGGCACCTGCCTGCAAATATTTTTTCAAAACAGCAACAGACGCAGACAGTTTAGAATTAAAAGATGAAAAACGTAACAATAAAGAAATGATGATGCCAGTTTCTATCACAGAGCGTAGCAAACTGGGGAACTGCGCTGTGCTATTTACAGTAGTGGGTCTACGAGTCCAGAATTCATTTCCAAACTCTGCAACCAGCCGGCTGGATCTGCAGGTCACTTCCTCTTGCATGGCACAATTCCCCAGCCATAAAGACGCACGTAGCTGCAGAGAACTCTCCTGCAGTCTACTGAAGCCATGTGCTGCGTTAAGAGCTGCGTTACAATTACACGCTACAGTTACATTTCTATTTTTTTTTACATTCCTGGACAAGCACTGAATGGCAGTTCTGAATCACACAGTTAACAAAAGCAGTAATAAGGAGAACGCGAGTACTTACTGTCACTAGGGGTGCCTTGCTCTAACAAAAACTGCTGTCCTTCACTCCATTGCCTCTCCAGAAGCTGTTCTATGCTGGCCGCTACTGGGGGCAAGTTTTCCCCGCAACTGTTCCCTGATTGGTCATAGCGAATCTGCAAGCTGCTTACGGGGGATCTGTTGAAAATATTGCAGTGTGTTGTTTAAAGAAAAGGATGGAAGGAAACGTTATTAGTAAAAGGCTGTTGAAGTTTCTTACCTTACATCTGCCCTTAGCACCTATGTATCTTGCACTTCCAAGACTAAATTACTTCATCAAAATCACTAAGAACTCCTGGTACTCACTGCCAAGGCTTTAGGAAAAGATGTAGTATTTCACGGTGTGAGAATTTATACTGAGAAGGCACACAGCCTCTCCTTGCACACAGCCTACCATACCACCTTAGTGACAAACAGCATTGTATTAACTTACACAACAATACACAGTGGGAAACCATTGCATATGGATGCAGAGAGCACCTGTCCTCTCCAAAAAAGGAAAAAAAAAAAAAAAAGCTTCAAACCTTTCCCAGAGAGAAGTGGGAAAATAAAACCAATGTCTTAAAGCCAGCACAGTAATGGTATTTCCACACAGAAAGGCCATATATGCTTCTACTGCCTATCTTGTTCTACAAAGAATCATGTAAAACCAGATTTTTGAGGGACTATGTGAAAATATTATTTCACAAGTGACGCAACGGAAGTTGGAGTTACCCTCTGCCTGTCCTGTGCACACTTAACTTACATCCTTTTCTACTCATCATCACACATAGATCAAAGAATAATCCCTTTGCCACATGTCCTCTCTCATTCAGGAGAAAACGACACATTCCGCACACAGCCACTGAGCAAGCTGGGCACCCCTCAGGTCCCAGAGAGCGCTGCTTTTGCGCTGGATGGGGCAAAACTTTACCTGTGGGCAAAGCCAGATGCTCACTCTATTTCTGAATCAGGATGCTGGCCTCATGCGTGCACAGCAACAATCCTCACACGGGACCAACACCAAAGCCCACTAGAAGTTTGTCAGTGGCTTTGTTTGGGTTTTGGGTTTTTTTAAATCAACTGCCATGAGCACAGATTCAGATTCTTATGTATTAGTTCTTATTGTAACTAATAACTAGGGAAGCCATCCAGGACAACAGCCACACCGTTCGGTAGGTAGTGCAGACTTACCAACAAGACCACCACAGTCCCAGTACAAGACAACATACAGGGCTCAGGAAATCAGTGTGTTAATTATGATTAGCGTAATAAGCAGTGGTCACAGCACATTAGCTACCTAATGACTGTCAAGCATTTTGTAGGCACCAGAGCAAAGCGATTTTTACGAGAAAAGGTTTTAAGTAGGTGAGTTAAGAGCCCTGTAAGTATTTATAAATAACTCTCTTTTGCATACAGGATGGAAGAAGAAAAACACTGTTCAAACAAAAAGCCCCGATGAATGGGTAAGCAAGGTAGTGTTTTTTGACATGAGATGACAACTCAACAGCCTTTAACAGCTCAGCACAGACACGGCAAAAGCAGCCTTAAAACTTGTTTACATGATGTGCTGAAGCGATAAGAAGGAAAGTTTATGCGGAAACAATTTGAGCAGATGTACTGCCCTCCACACAAACAGCGCTCCTAAAAAAAAAAACCCCACACCACCAAAACAAAACCAAAGCCAGAAAACAAATACAGAAAGCCGTCACACACACCCCCCCAGCAACTTCTTTCCCTCTATGCGTGCTTTTGAAGGGCGCATAACACTACTCTAACTGATTGTGCCATTTGACTTATAAATCACCAACAAAATTCTTGTTGGGCTTGGAACTGTTTCCTATCAGTTTCACAGAGGTAGAAACAAAGGAACACAGGACTCTGTCACCTCTGCAATCCTTCCCTGGAAAGCTGTACAGGAGAAAAGAAAAATAAAATCTAGATTTCCATGTATTAGTCAATCAGACATTAGTCAGTCCATCCTCTTCCAGCTGAACCCCTACCTCATCCATTAGACATGATGCAGCTCCCGCATACTATTGCTGAATCCTTATTCCAAACAGCAGTTGATCATAGTTTCTGACAGGATTGTAAATGTGCTGTATGCACCGGTGCAGTGCCGTCACTGAGCTGGGAATCCCTTGCTGCATGATTCACGCCGTGCTTACTTTCACAACTGTGTTTTGTTCAAGGCTGGGGGACAGTTCCTCAAGCTCTTACAGTATTAACTGTAAGCAGTACTGAGTTTGGCTATAGGCATACATACGTATTTCAGTACATATGTCATATTTCGCAATGCATTTTTAAATCTAGGGTTAAGTATGGGGTAAAAAAGTTTAAGCGCTGCCTTGGGAAAAGCAGCAATTCTTTGCAAAATGGAAACAGCTCACATAGAGCAGGTATATTTATATTTCTCATATATATTAAAGTTTTGAATATGACAGCTTGAACATCAAACACTGAGGTTATACAGGGGTACAAAGATATAGGAACATGAATTTGAAACGTCCGTATAGCTCACGAGTCACATACATCTCCCCCGAAGAGCTGCAATCGGCTGCGTCATCAACAGCAAACAACTGTTTCTGCAAGTGTTTTTATTTTAAGCAACTATTTGAAGATTACATGGTTCTTTCAGAGAAGCGCATTATTTATGAATCTCATAAGCTTCAAAGGGAAGAACTTGGAGAAAGAATTGTAACAGATAAAGCGGGTAACATTCAGAGTTACGAAGTTTTCAGACAGCAGATTTTTGAAGTTAGCTTTTTATTCATGATAAACCATATTTTAAGTAAACAGAGATACTTATTTAACGGGCAGGGGGGGGAGTTACCTACACGTTTTAGAAATGTCGACATTGTGTGTGATCTTTCCTGTCACAGAAACCAGGGGTGGAGTTTACTGATTAATGAATTTAACCAAACAGGGAAGTTTTCTAAATTTCTTCCATACCAGGAATTTCAGACTAAGTTTTTCTATCTTTCAATTTTGGAACTACGGCAGTGATTCCCTCCCCCTCCTCCGCTTTTTGGCTTGTTTTTGAACAACTCTACTGCCAAGCAAGAGCTACCTGCTCTTTGCCAAGTGACACAGCTTCCACATGGAGCAGGGAGCTCTGTGACTGTGGACTGAGGTGCCTTTTGTGCCATGCAGCTTCCTTTTGCCATCCCCGCCAAAACAGCCGGAATTTGACCATCTTGTAAGTGCTGGACTATATATACCCTTGGACAGAGAGGCCACAGAAGCATCCTATTTAAGAATTTTAGCTTCCCAAATATTCTACCTAAAGACAGCCTGGAAACAACTATGGCCTACTGCAAACCGTATAAAGAGCAGGCCTTTGCACAGTATCTAAGGCGGCATTAAAACCCATCATTACCACAACATGTAGGCTTAAGAGAACCATTTCATACACAAAAGTTCTGAAATTTCCTAATTCTTGAGCATTTCCCTTCGCAAAATTCTCTTTACTTACTTGTCTGTCTATATACAGACATGTTCTTTACCTATATAAAGATTTATGCCCTAATATAAATATACGTATTTATACTGAGAACACAGTCTAAATTCATTTGGAAATTCTCTATTGTTTTGGAAGCAATACGTATTGGAAAGCTTAAAAGCCACTTAACAAATTGCTAATGACACCGAAGTATTAGAATGGATATTCTCACCCCATTCAACAAGAAGTCTTTTGATTAATTAATGAATATAACACAAGATCAACAAAACCAGGCATATACATTAAATTATCTAATTTGGAGGTATTTATTATAAATTACTGTAATAAACACATGCAGTAACAATCAAATTCGTTGTTACAATGCTGTATCTGTGTAACTACCATTCTTAGCTACCCTAAAATCCTTTTCCAAGATAAAATCCCCACGGTTAGTCCCTAAGTTTTTGTTTGTGCTTTTTTTTTTAAAAAAAAATCACACTATAAAATCTAATTTATAAGGGTTCCAGTATGAAGAATAAAGCCCTTTAAAAACAAAGATTCACTTAAAAAATATGGAAAATATTACTGAATTATTTTAAACACAATACTGACATTTTAAACAGCAAGTATTTTAAAACAAAATAACGTGATACAATTCCAGGTAGAATTCTTATGTCAAACTTCTGTACTAGAGGTGAACTGTGCTGGAATAAAAAAAAAAGTACCTTTTTTTCCCTCCACACAGAATTGTTGCATATTTTGAAGTGGTGAGGGAAAGGGAAGAAAATACTTGTTTGAAATTTTTACTGCTGTTTAACTTCTCACGCCCTCTTTTTCCTGTGATCACTGCAGTCTTTATGGGATTTTGGAATTTTTGCAAATATGACTAAAAATGTGATGATTGTAACAAATATGAGAAGATAAATAGTACATGTGGATTAAATGATAGATAAATCCCTCTAAAGCAAGTCTCCATTTCTTAAGTAAAGTCCTTCATTTGCAAACCTAATTTCAGTTGATATAAATTTCAGCACATTTTTAGTTATCAGAACACGCTAGGGCTTGGGTTTTGGGTTTTTTTTTTTTTTAGACCAATATATCCATATAAAAATAAATGAATGTATACGTGTGTGTAAATATGTGTACATACATAAACCTATAGGCTTTTCAAACACGTATTACTAGTTAAAAGTTTCCACACCTTAAAACATTTCCTCTATCTGCACTCTCCAACGTAAATAACGCTTACCGTGGCGAGAGACTTCCTCTGGGTGAGCCTCCTCTGCCAACAAGGCTGCGGCTGTTATCTCCGAGATCTTGATCTGCAGTGTAAATATTTCACAGCTGATAAATCGACTCTTCTTAGATAAGAGTCTTAAAGCGTGCACAGATATTTTCGAAATACCTTAAATCCCAACTTCTAGCGGTCGTTACTGCTGAAGAGCGAATCCGTAACTAGTTTAAGACTGCTGAACTGTAGCATGTAAGGTGTTGTCCTTACACATTTCTGAGGCTGTACCAGGCCGTGGATTATGTTCACTTCTTTCATTCCTTTCAGTTTTACGGCACAGAAGCGTGGTTTGCATTTGCAGTACCCTCCCCTCAGCCACTTTTAATTTCTACAGTGAAAGTAATGAATCACAGCTGTGGACAGCTAATCTGTATGCTTATCACAGCAAATCCTGATGCTCTGTGTTTTTTTAACACTTTGCATCCCACAACAACTCATAAAATACAGAATGTATTAAACTTGCACTGCCATCTTAACAAGCACGCGTTATTCGGCACATTTACTGCAAACTTTATGAAAGCATATAATTCCTTAATTCCTATTTATAAGCATAAGCAGAGGAAAGTCCCTTGCTAAAAAGGTAGTAAAACAAACAAAAAAGGCCTCATTAAATATACGAAAACGTTTTGCTTGGAAGGACTCAAAAGGGTTATTTTCCCTATGGCCTCTCAATAAAATAACCCTATCTGCCCCCTTCAAGGTTGCCCTCCCCCTATTCTGAGTCAAGCGACCTCCGACCTCTTGGAGGGCAAAGACATGACTGATCCATTCTTGGTAAACTGCTAAACTCATTCCCTTCCCCCAAACAGGCATGACTACTACGACATGTCAACAAATCCTTACGGAGGGAATGAAACAAAGCAAAGCCAGCGGCTCATTAAAACCGGAGAGGAGAGCCAACGGTACAAAATGCCAATCGGTAAATATTCACAAGATTATTAAACGCCGCAGAAGTTCTCTAACGGGATCTCTTTCACACGAAGTTGTATGTAATGCAATTTCATGAATTATGCAAATAAAGGTTTAAACTATTCACGACAAAACCCAGAGCTGTGTTACTCTCCTTGCAAAGAGCTCCGAACTGAACACATCAATCACAGAAGTATTCCTGCCTGCTGATGGCTCTGCTTAAACATTTACATTTCAGACACTAAGAAAAGGGAAAAAAAAAAACAGGAAGAAAACCCATGCCATTCTGCAGGACAACTAAGAATTTACTTCCCACATGTAACAACTTTATACAGTTAATAACCCAATGCATGTTGAGCAGAGCTCAAAAATAAAATTTAAGAATCTGTTTAAAAACCACTGCAGCCTGAAGCTGTGCGTTTGTCCCAGCAGCGGGGAGCTTACCTGCTTGGCTGTTCTCAGACTGAACGAGAAGTGCTGCCATTGCAGAATTTGGATTCAGCCTACTGCCGTACATGTGGGATGGAGGCAGACCAAGAGAAGATCCAGGTAGGGTGTTTGCCTGCAAGAAACCAATTAAAACTTGAACCCTTCTTTTAATAGGGGGAGGGGAATGCTAAATATATTTTAAAGCAGCCTTCCTAATGCACAAATATTTACTTTTTAGGTTGAATGATTTCTAAAACTGTGTTTATTTAAAAGAAAAAAACATTAGTTTCCATGTCTGAGTAGAGAGGTAGAACTGCAGTAGTCTGAAAACACAGTGGGTTTTAAGGTGCGTTTTACTTGCCATTGGCAAGATATTAAAAAAGCGTCTAATAAAAAAAATATACTGTAGCAAACACAAAAATACCTAGACAGCATTTTGAAACCACCACGGCGTAGCAGGATGGGCAGACTTCCTCGCAATCCTGAAGTATGCACTCAATGCTGGGACTTAGTAGCATGACGAACATGTGGTTATCCTACTAATTATTTAATCTTATTAAACCATTTACAAAATAAGGGCAGGTAGACAACAGATGTCTCACAAATGCTTGGGTTCCTTACATCACGAGCCGGCTGTGGAGGTCAAAAGGTCCAACTTTCAGCTCTATACTTTAACTACACAGAGCCATATTTCCTTTGCTCCACTCCGTCATTAGTAAAACCTGCACACTATTTTGTTACTTCCTATTTTAATAGACTTGGAAGCCTGGTGTTTTTTTGTTTTGTTTTGTTTTTATTTTAAAGAACCCCACCAGCCATTACAAGTATGTTTTCTATACAATAGAGGGCTCACCGAATCGCAGCTTTGCCCTGACCCCATATAAGGAACTGTATTTTTGGCAGCTGGCCAGCTCTACTTATTGAAGAGCTCCCAAAGTTTGTGTTCATTCATGTTGCTAACCACAATTCTGAAGGTCTCTGGCTGGGACTTGTGCCAAACAAGCGAAAATGAACCCTTAAACAGATGAAGCTAAGGAGGCTGGCCAAAATCTTGCATAATCCAACGCAATAAAAATACCTTCTTCCTTGGCTGCTTATGCTTTTTCCCCTTTCGAAGAAACGATTTGTGTCAAATGCTGAGTTGCAGAGACAGGCAATCAAAGAAGGGGGAGAAAAAGCACAGCTGCTTATTAAAAAGGCATTTTCCTACCTGATAGAAAATTATTGCAGAACAAAGAGATGTTTTGGGGGGGGGGGTGTGTGCGGAAATCAAAGATACACAACCTGTGTGATCACTGGTTCTAAAATTAAGTTTTTAAGAAAATGTAAACAACCTCTCCAAAGGAAACCTTAAACA